TTCTCCCATTCAGTACATTGCCTTTTCATTTGGTTGAGTGGTTTTTCTTACTGTGTAGAAGCTTCTCAGTTTGATGTAGTCCCACTTGCTGATTTTTGCCTTTGTTGCTTGTGCTCTTGGTGTCATATCCAAAAAATCATTGCCAAGACCAATATCAAGGAGCTTCTTCCCTATGTTCTCTTTTAGGAGTTCTACAGTATAAGGTCTTATATTTAAGTCATATAAAGATTTCATACAACTCAATAATAAAAAATAAATAATCTGATTATAAAATGAACAGAGGAAATGAATAGATTTTTCAAGAAGATATCCAAATGGCCAACAGATACATGAAAAGATGCTCAACATCACTAATCATCAGGGAAATGCAGATCAAAACTACAATGATGTTATGCACAAACAATGAATCATGGAACACTACATCAAAAACTAATGATGTAATGTATGGTGATTAACATAACAATAAAAATAGAGTTTTAGGAAAAAAAAAAACCACAATGAGATACCACTTTCACACCTGTTAGAATGGCTATGATCCAGAAGACAAAAGATAACAAATGTTGGCAAGAATGTGGAAAAAGGAAACCCTCATGCTCTACTGGTGGGAATGTAAATTGGTGCAGCCACTAAGGAAAATAGTATGGAGGTTTCTCAAAAAACTTTAAATGGAACTACTGAAGGCTTTCATGCAGATGGTTTGGAGGCAACAAAGGCCTAAGCACCAAGCCTCAGCAGGTTCCCATTTTTAAATGTGTTTCTCAACTATCTCAGTTTCTAACTTCAGTCTAGAGCAGCAACTACTTCATTGGTAATTATTTTGAGTAGAAGCACCTGAGTCTTGTCCCATGCATGGATATTGGCCATCCCTCTCAGAGAGAAATATCAGCACAAACAATTCAGATTACTAAAATGAGAAAATCCAAAACAAAGCACATGGACAAATCTCCCAGGTGTACAAAGTGGGAGGACATTGGATGGATGAGAAACATCACGAACAACAATTCAAAACCTACATGAAATGACATGCTTGGAGGTTGAAAAGTCAAAGATCAAGGTGCCTGCAGACTGGTATGTCTGGTGAAGGCCACTTCCTGGTTCACAGATGGTCTTTTCACTGCGTTCTCCTCACTTAGATATTTCTTGGGTCTCTTCCATTTCTTCTCATGGGTTATAGACATGGTGATGAGCATGATCAGTGGGAAAACTCAACTATTTTTCTCTGAATTTGAAGAAGTCATCTATTGTGTTCTCTGTTATCTCCCCTAAATACTGTCCATGAATGAATAAAACCCTCTACCCCTCAGAAATTGAGAACAGGAATATTATTATCTTTATGACTAATCCCTCCTTTAATTCTAAATAGAGGCATCAAAAAGTTTATTACCATCAATGGTTTGGACTATAATCTATGCACAGTTTAAATCATTCCATATGAGGCAGAAGTACAATAATCACCTACTGATACTAAGAATGATCTTAGAAAGCAATCAGATTTAAAAATGAGACTTAGGGGCGCCTGGGTGGCTTAGTCATTAAACGTCTGTCTTCGGCTCAGGTCGTGATCCCAGGGTCCTGGGATCGAGCCCCACATCGGGTTCCCTGCTTGGCAGGAAGCCTGCTTCTCCCTCTTGTGTTTCCTCCTCTCTGTGTCTCTCTCTGTCAAATAAATAAAATCTTTAAAAAAAAATTTTTTTTTAATAAAAATGAAACTTCATGGAAAAGAAAAAAAAAAGAACTACAATTGATCTAGCAATCCTACTTCTGGGTATATATCCAAAGGAAATGAAAACTGAATTATCAAAAAAATATCTGCACTCCTATGTTCACTGCAGCATTATTTGCAATAACCAAGATATGGAAACAACCTAACCATCAACAAATGAATGGATCAAGAAGATGTGTGATATTGTGATATATATATATATATATATGTATGTATGTATCTCACATATATATATGTATATAAATACACACATATAGGTAATGAAAAAGAAGGAAATCCTACCATTTGCAGTAACAAAGATGGATCTTGAGGGCATTATGCTCAGTGAAATAAGTCAAAGAGAGAAAGACAAATACTGTATGAAATCACTTACATGAGGAATCTAAAAAATCTGAACTTGTAGAAACTGAGATTAGAATGGTGGTTACCAGGCGCTGGGGGAATAGGGAACTGAGAAGATATTGGTCCAAGACTGTAAACTTGCAAGTAGAAGATGAATAAGTTCTAGAGATCTAAGGCATAACACAGTGATTATAATCAAAATACTATATTATTTACTTCAAAGTTGCTAATAGATCTTAAATGATCTAACCAAAAAAAATAAATATTTATGTGACATTATAGAGGTGTTAGCTAACGCTATGGTAGTAATCACACTGCAATCAACACATCACACACTTAAACTTAAACAATTATATGTCAGTAAAAAGGTATTAATAAAATGCAGAGAATATTGAAACTTTCCATGTAGCTTACATAGGTTTTTTTCCCTCTCAATTTTCATAATGAGTGTTCAGGATTCAAATTCTAACCCAAATTTAATATTATTAGAAAGTATTTTAACTTCATTTTTCCAAAGTTTAATTTTGACTATGAAAACACAAACCCTTTCAGTATGTATGTAATGTGTGTGTGTGTGTGTGTGTGTGTGTATAAATAAAATTGTCTTTGCACTTTTCTGTTAATTTGGATGTTCCCACATTTCCATTAGGTAAGTCATTTCTGGAAGCCAATAGATCTCTTTCAGTAATATCTCTTAAAGTGAGAATCACGCAAATGCATTTGCCCCCATCACAAACTCACAACAGTTCTTCTTTTAATTCACAGACTCTTGATGAATTTCTTTTTGTAATCAGCATTATTTCAGTAGGAAATAGTATAGTATTCTGATCCTATTTCTTTAAGTAAAACTGAAAAGAGAATTGGAATGTTGAGACTTGAATTTTAATAGATTTATCATTTTGACATTATTTAATGTAGATTCCAGAACTCCAAGCAAACCTTTACATTAAGAGATTCTCTGTGAATAGAAAAACGTATTACATCAATTTCAGAGTTTTCAAATTGAACTTAATGTGTAAAGCTTTTACACCTTCCTATCATTGCTGCAACACCATCAATATATAAACCTCTGTTATGTTTCAATATGATTTTATTTTTTACAAAGGGTTCACCTCCCATGTGAATATGCTATCTCTGAAGTTTGTTTTGTTCTTTCTTTCAAATCACTTAATGTTTCTCAGCATTTCTCTTCGGAGAGTCTAAATGAGAGGTAGGAAGAGTTAACTTTTTCTAGGCTGATCTCCTACAGACTGGTTTTTCTGAGAGGGTGGTGGCTTCCACTGAGGGACCAATTGGAAATGCAAACCACTCCACAGAAAAGAGAAACAAGTACTAAGGTATTCAGTTCTGTGAGAACGCTAAGTCAGTAGTGGAGCAGGGTTGGAAGTCAATGATTTCTTCTGTCACAGATCTACAAGTTCAAGGCATGGACCCAAGTCCCTGATCATGGCAGAGAGGCTTGTGCTCTCCTAACCAAAAATACTGTGGCAAATCAGTGCTGACGGCTAAAGTTCTAACACATCATCGAATTGTGACTACAATACTCAGCCCACGGTCTAGGTCTAGCACTTAGAGTCTGATATCTAGCTGTCTTATATTCCCGTGTGCTTCTGAGTGCCCTTTCAGGGAGAACTGCAAACCTACTAATCCTCTTGTATCAGAAGTTTCTCTCTATAAACATCATCCAAGTCTGATTTGTGTGTTATTGGGCCATTTATCCTAATTTGTTTGAGAATTTGGTGCAGAAAGCTAGACATCTTGCCCCCAAACTCACCATAGCCTCCAAAGAGTGAACCAAGGGATTCGAGATCAAGAACATATGCAAGGTAGGTTAAGACAGTATTGTTCCAGGGATGGTGGAGTCCACCAATGATAAGGATTTGAACTACAGGTTACTAACTTGTTACTTATCTCTTGTACGACTGGAGCACAAACCAGGGACAAAAGATAACAATCTTTTGTTATTATTAATGATCTTGAAGGGATTTTTCAAGAAGTGAGGAAGCTCCTTGAAGGGGAGAGGGAGATTAGAGCTACAATTTGCTAACCCATATGGGAGAAATGATGTTCTTTTGATTTCATTCTTGATTTTCTTCCCAAACCAAGTACATTAGTCCAAGACAGGATACTACTGCTAGGGTGCTACATGTTCTGATAAAGTAGAAATGAAAATAAAAAAGGCCTAAAATACACAGCCTGCATGACTATCCCTCCCATTAGAAAAATAGGCACTATCCAAAGGTACCAAGTAAACCTAACAGGGTCCAAATATACTTTTTTAAGGAGTCTCCCTGTTGTAAGGGTGTAACATAACTTGTAGATAAAGAAGCCAAGTATGATGAGATTGATGATGTTCCCAACCCTAATATACACAAAATAAAACAATAAAATACTGGGAGGTGAGAATGGGGGCTTCCTTCAACTGACAAGAGAACTGGTGGAATTGCACTATCTACTTAACACCTAAGATATGGGATATCTAAAAACAGGAACTCAGAACTTCCCAAAAATGGAGACAAAACTGTAGCCTCTCCCTATGAAATTAAGCTTATAAAGTGATTGGTCCAACCAAGTGGCCCCTGAAGAGTCGCTAGTCAGGGGCCTCTGATTTGCAGGAGCATTGCCTATCCAACTGTGGATACATCCATATAGTTCAAGCACTGGAGATATTGGTCAGTTTACCACTGACCTATCCAGATATCATCTAAACAAACAACAAAATGCTCTTCAATGACGGGGAAACATAAGAGTCTAGCTCTGGCATGGGATCTAGTATCATGCTCCATTTTAGTCACAGAGTGCAGCACACAGGAGAAACTTACTCCAAAATCCTAGGAGTCTGTATTATGTTCTCTTTGGGAAGAAGGAGAGGCTCCATGCAGCATCCATTTCTATCCTTGAAGTGCAATTGGATCTACTCAGTCAAAGCTCTGAAGCCTCAACCTGTTGCAGATCCTTCTCTTGTTCTGGGCCCCTTTCAAAATCTGCAATTTACACAGTAAATGAATTGAAAGAGCATCTCCAAATATGAAGTATGTTCACTTTAATATCCAAAGAAACCCACCAATTGTGACTCTTTCTTTTTATGGAGAAGTACAAGGTAGAACAACCTCTTTCATTTAAGGAACTATCCTGACATTTTTGAGACCATTCAATGATTAGAGACTACCAGTGTGGCTGCCCCTGAAGTTTTATTTCCCATCTTCTGGCTTAGATGTTTCTTACTGAGATGCCTAGGTACTTGCTCATTTCCTGGTCACCAAATCCCATTAGCATAATGTCATATATATAATGTACCACAGTGAGGATCTATAGGATGATTAAGGTCCCTTTATGATTATATTATGAACAAAATCAGGAGTTTTGGCTACTTGGGGACAAAATAATAAATGTGTACTATTGATCGTAGGCAAAGGCAAATTGCTCCTGATTATTCTTACTAGTTGGAATGAAACAGCAAGTTTTTCGTAAGATAATATTTGTGTAAATCTGCCTTGGGCTGTATTGATTTGATATAATAAATATCATAAGAAACTACAATTGTGATTGGAGTTACCACTGGGTCAATAAAATACAGACATTCTACAGGACTTATGTGGCTTTTTAACAGTCAAACAGACCTAAATATGAATGTTTTAAAAATGACCACCTCTGCATCTTTCAAGTATTAAGCCCATTATTCCTACTGAAATTAGGGAACTCAATCCATGGTAGTATCTTCCACCATATTTTTATTTACCCTCTGCAGTGAGTAACCAGGGCAAAATTTTTCAAGAATTATGGTACTCCATTCACCAATGTATTTCTTAATTCCTCATGTCTGCCAGACCTTCCTAGATATGTAGTTAGGGAATGACTATACTAGTTGTATACAAATATGTGTACTCCAATATTTCTATTTCACTAATCCCTGAGACTTGGTCCTCTAAAATATATAAAGGAAGCCCTTTCGTCTCACCGCACTCAATTATGGGCAACAATTGTGTCCAAGCTTCAGCTTACCAACCCAATACACATAATCCCACTCCCAATTGCTAGATCCAATAAATCCGAAGTTCCAGGGAATATACTCACTGATAAATTCAACCTGATACAGCTTCATGTTTTATACTCTTTAGTTTTTGTCTAAGACTATTAAAATCTATCTCCATATGTTTTCCCAAGTTACAATACTGTTGGCAGGAATCTATAACTCCTTTGGTATGTAGGCTACCTTTCCACAAGTAGGCTTTACAATTATTCCTGTGAGATACAATGGTATTAAATACTTGCCATTGGCCCAGCAAGGAATGAAATACCAAAAACAAATAAGAAACAAATAACTTTTTGTTAAATCTAATTAATATTTGACTATAAAATTACATTAAATGAAAGGACTAATATTTTAGAAATAAAAAAGAAAAAATGAAAAGGCTTAATGAAAAATTAAAGTATACCTAAATTCTCATTTTCTTGGGAGGAATGGTGATATTGTAGGCAAAATATAGAATTTAAGAGAAAATATTATTTTTAAATCTGAGTGTTAAAAGAATGTTAAGTATAACTATGAAAAAAATTCAATCTGTAACATCTAAACCAGCAGACGAAACAAAGAGTTTAAATAAGGAAAAGATCACCAGATTCACTTAACAGAATACTGGAAAGATGAAAACAACTTAAGAAAGAGCATGGTAAACAAGGAAAAAAAAAAACATGGTGGATAGAAGTCCATGTAGTCATCCCTTGGAGGTATCGTTAGTTCAGTTCCAAACCACCACAATAAAGCAAATATTGCAATAAAGTCAAATGATTTTTTGATTTCTCAGAGCACATAAAAGTTATGTTTACACTATACTGTAGTCTGTTAAGTATGCAATAGTATTTTGTCAAAAAAGCAAAAAAAAATTATTGCTAAAAATGCTAACCATCATTTGAGCTTTTAAGTCATAATCACTGATGACATATAACCATAACAAATAAAATAATAAAGGTATTTGGAATATTGTAAGAATTACAAAATGTGGCACACCATGAAGTGACAGATTTGCAAGACACAGGGTTGCCACAAACCTTCAATCTGCAAAAAACATAATATCTGCAAAGCACAATAAAGCAAACACAATCAAATGAGGTAGGACTGTAATAAAGATAAATGTAAATGAACTAATACTAATTATGAAAGAAAAAAGATCATTAGAGTGGAAAATTAATTTAAATTATATCAGCTAGGAGGGAAGGCTATGTGCTATTCATGTCACTGCCATTAGGGTTCAGTATAAATAAATATAAGTTGCATTGTTCAAAGTTAGGTTTGTCTAGAGAAACATTTTTGGGAGGTAAAAGAAGAGGAGGAGGAAGGGGAGAGAAGGAGGAAGGGGAGAGGAGGAGGAAGGGCAGAGGAGGAGGAAGGTGGAGAGGAGGAGGAAGGGCAGAGGAGGAGGAAGGGGAGAGGAGGAGGAAGGGAGGAAGAGGAGAACTATTAATCAAAGGCTCATTATCTCCTTCCCAATTAGTGGCAGTCAATATAATTCATAATTAAATTATTAAATTGAAATGCTGTTTAATAGCACTTGCTACATAGATTTGAGTGTTGTACTAATTTGATTACAAATCTTAGCAGATAATAATTTCCTGGATCCAGTTATAGCGTTCTTGTTTTTTTTAAACCATCCACCCATTCTTCATTTTTCATACCTCCCCAGTTGTTGAGCCTTGTGGTTGGTTGTCTGTGTGTTAAAGTTTATAAATATCTACACATTAGCCTCTTTTGCCCATTTTATGTTATGTTCCTTGGAGTCGTAAAACATACATTTTTTTTTTATTCTTTCTAGGGCACAGCTTTGTTAATAATGGATGCCTTTTTGCTGCTTCTAGAGGTGAGTAATAACAGCAACACTAGCATTTGTGGTGGATGTCCACTAGAAAGCTTCATGCTCTGTAAGAATTGCCTTACTTTGTATGAGCAAGTACCACCATCACAATGATTTACTTACCTTGCCTCTACATGGGATTATACACTGTGGGAATAAATATGCATTTAAAATCCTAAATAATGGCAGCGAATTTGCCTAGAAATTATGCATGTGGGTTGTATAATGTTTTGGCATGCCTCAAATTCATCATAATAGGTTTGTATACCTCTTCACAATAATTTACTTAGAAAAATGCATTCAAATTTTCACATCCTTGGATAATGCAATTTGTGTCAAGAAAAGGATTACTAATTCCCTTAATGATTCATTCTATACTCAACTCCAGAGAATGCAGGAGTCTAGAAGAAGGTATCATTTTGCAATAAATGTCAAAAACATGTTTTATCTAAATAGCTCAACATACAGTACTGACAAAATTTAGTTAGAGATAATTTATACCCTTCAGTGGCCAGAGTAATCTATGGGTTTCTTCAAATTGCTTTTGTCTATAAAATAAACTCAATTTGCTTTACCACATGAAGCACAAATTTAAAGCAATATTTCATAAATCTCTGTCACTGAAGATTAAAGTAATCTTTAATTTACAAATACTGCCATCAGCCTATGAGCTTTATGTTGCTGGGGTTTGAAAATTGAGTTACACAACACAAAACAGATTTTCCACCTCACCTGCTGGTAAAGGCAAGATATCTAATAAAATAGGAAGAGATAAGCCACTATTAATTGTCCCTAAAGATACCATATGTGCACTAGTATGGTTCTAAAATCTTGTTTGCCTGAACAGGATTTTTTTTTTTATTATGTTAGGTTAATCACCATACATTACATCATTAGTTTTTGATGTAGTTGTCCATGATTCATTGTTTGCGTAACACCCAGTGCTCCATTCAGTACATGCCCTCTTTTGTTTTAATAGAGCACTAGGGATAAAGCATTTAAGATGCATCCACAGTTATCTGTCATAGTAACTCCACATGGTTTACATCTGCTTCATCAAGTCAAGGACCTACATAAGGTCTTTTAGCCCTTGTAGGAAAACACATATTACCAACAGACTCTCTGATCTAAAATGTTGGTTCAACAGTATATATCAGTCACAAGCCTCGTGTGAAATGTAATAAAATAAACTTTATACTAATATATATGTATATATATCAAATTTCCAGCAGTCTAGGGTCTAGCTACTTCAAAAACTTCTATTTCAAAAACAAATGCAAGAAAATAGTTCAAGATGGCAGCATAGGAAGATCCTGAACTCATCTCCTACCACAGACACATCAAATCCATAGCTACTTATGAAATAATTTCCTCTAAAATAGACCTAAAAAGTAGCTGAACAGCTCCTTCACAATAAATAGTAAAAGTTCCAAATCAAGAGAGGTATGAGCATTAGAGATATGGTTTCATCAAAAATCCAACCCCTGGCAGGGTAACTCTAATCAAGGGGGAATCTCACAAATCTGGAGCTTCTCCCTGAAGAGTAAGAGTAAGGGGTTGTGTCCCATATCAGGGGCCTACCTCAACCCTTAGGACCTATATCAGAGAGATGAGCCCCCAAAATGTCTAGCTTTGAAAACCAATGGGGCTCACAACCAGGAAACCCAAAAGGCCATAAGGAACTGAGATACTTCTCTTGAAGGGCTCATGTACAAATTCACTTGCCCCAAGTACCAGCACAAAAGCAGCAGCTTGACAGTACCTAGATTCTATGAGGAAATTCATTTGCTAACCTCAAAGCATCTGTGGAAGGGAAAGGGCAGGGCTTTGTTGAGATGGAGGTGCTGATGGGAATCATTTCTGCATTCTCGCCCTACTTTGATGGTGCTGGCAGGAATATGCTGGCCCTGTCTGAGCTCTACGCTGTCACACTAAAGCTGGAAGGCACACCTCGGGCCTATGCTCTTCCACTACTTGCTAAAGCCAGCAGGCATATGCATTCCAAACAGGAGATGCTCCTGGCTTTGGTGGACAGAAGGGCTTGAGTTCCTGGGTCCCACAGGACTGTAACAATTAGAAAGACAGTTATTGGAACACAACCACCAACAGGGCAATGCACAAATAGCAGAATGAAA